GCGTCTATTGTAGAGGAGAAGATCATATCAAGAGGGATTGCCCGGACCTCAAACGGGCAATAGAAGAGGGACTTGTCGTGCTTGACGACCGCAAGTACGTCAAGTGGGCAGATGATCTCGGAGATGTATCGATGTTTCCTTCGATGAAGGAGAATGTTGAAGCAAGGAGAATAAAAATGAGTAAAGGAATGGAGTCGGTCAGGAGTCAGAGCATCAAGATAACCTTTGAGGGGGACATGACGACCACACCCATAAGGGTGGCAGCCACCAAGTCGGCGAGAGGATCTACATCGAAGAAAACTGACACGGATTACGTGATGGCGGAGAAGGACGGGCAGCGGGTCGATGGAGAGGAGGTTATTCTTTCGCCGCGAAAACGGGGAGTCAAGAAGTTCTTAATGAAGAGTTCGCTGGACGAGATTGACACGGTCGAGCCACTGAGGCGGGCCCTTCGGCAACCCATGCAGTGCTCTATTCTGGAGTACCTGGCGGCATCAAAGCCGGCTCGTGATGAGTTACAGATGATCACGCGGAAGACTCGTATACCTTTATCGGAGGAGGGTCAGGCCCCTAAGGCGGAAGCTTCTACAGTAGCAGTAACGGGGATGACTGCCAGAGCGGATCGCATGGCGACAGTCCTTCTCGATGGAAAAGGTGTGCCTCCAGACAAGTTTTATATACTTGGTAGCGGGGCCGTGGAGACAATTATAAACGATGGAGCGGTACTCGATGCTGTGATTGATAACGGCAGTGAGGCTGTCATCATAGACGAGGACCTGGCGGAACAAGTTGGACTGGGCCTCGATAGGTCATACCTATTCGAGATAGAGACGGCTGATGAGAGAAAGCAACAGATCACCGTGGTTTGTCACAAGGCAGCCATAGAGGTCCAAGGGGTGCGAGTGACCCTGCCTGTCTTTGCAGTCAAGAACTGCAGCTCCGACCTGCTCTTAGGTCGAACGTGGCTCAGCCACGTGCATGCGGTGACGATAGAGCGACCTGTTGGGAGCCAGACATTGTCCATTAAGAAACCAGACGGGACGCGGGTAATGATTGAGACAGTGGAGCCTCGGGACCCGAGGAACAGAGCAGCTCTCGCTGTGGGTGCGAGAGCCAGTGATCAGATTAAGTCGTTACCTATCTCCGGTCGCGCGGTGCGATTTCGCGAGAAGAAATATGGACCACGACTCACAGAAGAAGAAGGTCGGATCGTGGAGGTGGAAGATTTAGGGAGTCGGCTAATAGTGGACGGCAACTCGTACCCAAAGGAAAAGGATGAGGAATTTGGCGGTGTGGTATCCGTGTCTTTTTTAAGGGCACGGCCCCCTATGGGGGGCTACCCAAACGACACAAACGAGTAGCGCAAAAAGTTAAGCCAGCGGCGGTGGGCCGCGAGCGATCTGCACTAGAAGGGATAACGGAAGAAGAGATCGCAAAAGAAATCAAAGAAAGAAAGAAAAAGGAGCCGCAACGCCTAACGGAAGAGAGAATAGCAGGGATGGACATCGGAGATGGAAATTTGACCCCACAGGAGCGAAAACGTGTGATAGAAATCCTGAAGACGTGTGATAAGGCCATAGCTTTCAGCGACGCGGAGCGCTGTAGGATTGACCCCAGATACGCTAAGCCAGCAAGGATTTACACGATACCACATGTTCCCTAGAACGACGCGGGATGGAAGTACGCCCAGAAGGAGAAGGAAGAAGTTATCGCCTTCCTGAAAGAAAAGATGGTTTTCCACGTTGCGGAGCCGTCTGATAGCGCTTATGCAAATCGATGGTTCTTCCTACGAAAGCCGAATGRCAAGATCCGATGGATCCAGGACCTTCAGAAGGTCAACGCGGTGACGATACGAGACGTGGGCTCCGTACCACACGCCGACTTACTAGCAGAGGGCGCAGCGGGTAGGTCGATCTATTCGGTCTGTGATCTGTTCTCAGGCTATGATGAGGTACCGCTTGACCCTAGGGACAGACACCTCAC